TCTCTCTCTCTCTCTCTAAGCTTGCAGTTGGAATTGTATTCAGCTAAGGTTGACAGTCTCTTGTTATAAATATGGAAGGCTAGCATAGCCAGCATAATAGGTGTAGCTAACCTCTGAAGTATATTTCCTATTTCATAAGATCAAATTAATGTATTCATACAATTTGATTTAAATTGTCCAATAAAGGGTTATTTCCAAGTACATCTTAACAGTAAAATTTAAAGGAACAAAATTTTGTAAACTCAGTACTGCTTAGTCATTAATAATTTATTCTAAAATTTAGTCCTAATCCCTGAACTTGATTTTATTTTATTTTTTAAATTTATTCATTTATTTTTGGCTGGCTCAGCCCTGCCCTGAGGGTAGGGCTGGCGTTGTATGTGGTACCAGGGATCGAACTATGGTTCCCTTAGGCCTAAGCTTGCCTAAGCAGGCACTTTAGACCACTGAGCTATCTCATCAACCCTTTAGCTTGATTTTAAAGGTACTTCTTCACTTTTCCCAAATATCTTCAATTAAAATTTTAAAATGCTCCAGCAAACCCCTAAACTCAGGATCAAATTTAATCAAAAGCATCTGGAGATAAGTTTAAAGCTTCCAGCTCATCATAATGAAAAGGAATATAAATATTTCATCCCAACTTTCCACCTTTTTTCTCATGTGCATCAAACTTGAAAAGAAACTGTATTTTTCAGATTCCTGTGTGCATAAACCACTGAGGGTGATGCACGGATTTGCCTCCCACCTTGGCATATTGTTTTCCTGAAATTTCATGTACTTTCTTTCTTATGCGTAAAGTTAGTTTAATGATGCCATAATTCTTAGAAGTAGAAAGTGGCATGCAATGGGTTTATATTGAGAATTATACTCTCCCTTAACCAAAAGACTAACAATATTTGAGTCAGAGAAAACAAAAAAATAAAAAAACCAAGGGCCTAATTTGATTCACTATTTGTTAAATGAGCTATCTACATTTTTGAATGTAACAAATTTTTTTGTTTGAAAAGGGTGTTTACATAGAAGAATAGAATTGAACAAAAGTTTGATGCAAGAGTGAGAATCATTTTCTCATTAACATACAATAAAGTTCCATTTTTAGTAAAGATTTCACATGAAAAGTCAGTGTTAGAGCTGACAAGTGAAACTCATAATCAGTATTGAGTAGTTGAAAGTAAAGAAACAAGCCAGATAAAGAAGCTTCTTCATATAGTGCAAGAACTCAGAGACATATCAGCTTGTTTAACAAGGCAAACTCCTGGCGCACATTGTCAGGGTCCTTGTGTTTATTTCCTTGTCTATTTCCCACTGCCCATTGATTAACCCAGCATGAAGAGATATCTATACTGCTGCCTATACCTTGTGGCTTAGGAAGCAAAACCACCCCCATTTAATGCTAATATTCTGGGGGTGACATTGAATTGTGTTTATTTTGACCAGAATTTAAGAATTCAGTCTCATGATAACTTCTGAAGTTCTTTAGTTTATAGCCCCATAGACAAAAGTGGGATTTTCTTCTCCCCGTACCATCCTGCTACCCAAATGGTAATTGATGGCCTGGCTTTAAAAAGAAATTGACTAAATTCTCTCTGTGCATTTCATTTGTTCAGCCTGCCACCGAGATGTTTATGAAGGAATTGATATGAGAGGAGTCAATTTTAATGCATCTAAGGTCAAGAGCGTTGAGGAATGCCAGAGATTGTGCACCGATAATATTCATTGCCAATTTTTCACATATGCCACAGACAAATTTCACAGTGCAGGGTACCGGTATGTAAAATTCATAGGGTTATCTTCCTTACTATGGTTATTTTCAAGATTTAATTATTTTCTTCATAATGATATTTTCCTTTCAACTAAAAACCAAGCAGGGATTTAGTCCCACCCACTGCCATTATTTACTTATGCAATTTTAGTGTCATTTTTACTGAAGCAAATAAGTACCAGTTGGTCCACAAATGAATTATCTCTATGGAATGAAGGTCTAGAGTTGTAGAATAATGCCTACTGTCCCTTTCTCAACCTAAACTCCCATCTGAAGGTGAGAAAGATGTCCACTTCATTGACAGCCAAGCCCTTAGCCCATGATCCAATCAAGCTTATTGTTCTATTTCCCTAGCTATGCTCCACCGCCTGGGCTCATTTTAGTGCCAGGTATCAGCAGGACTGCTTCATGCTCCCCAAGGCATGGAAAACAAAGTAACCTCTTTTTCTTGACACTCAGGAACTACTGCCTATTAAAGCAGAGTTCAAGTGGAACACCTACCAGTATAAAGACGGTGAATGATGTGGTATCTGGATTCTCACTGAAGCCCTGTGCACTTTCAGAATTCGGTAATTGGAGATTACTATTTCACTCCATGACAGTAGTGGGTAGATTAACAGTCCCAGAATCTGTGACTGTGTTACCTAGCAGCAAAATTTTTCCTAGATGTCACCAAGTTAACACATTTATTCGGCGAGATGTAGATGCGCGCCCCCAGTTCCGGGCTTCGTATAAGAGGAACGGGGAGGCAGAAGGGTCAGTCAGGCATAGAGATATGAAGGGGTCCCATAGCTGGCTTTAAAGATAAAGGAAAATCCATAGGCAAAGGAATGCCAGAAGGAGAGCTGGGAGATTCTCCTTAGAGCTTCCCAGAGGAGCAAAACACACCCAGCATCATGATTGCAATCGATGAGACCCACTTCAGACATTTTATTTCTAGAGTGATATATTTGCAGTGTTTTGTGTCTAAGTTTGTGAATATGCTCATCATACAGCAATAATACAAACCAGTACAGTGCTAATATACGGAAACCCTGAAAGTTGTATCTTGGTGGTGCGCATATCTTGTGGTGACTCTATCATGATGAGTAAGAACCTTCAAAATTGGCACACCACCTCCCTTACCGTTCTGTTGGTACCATCTATTGCTTTTGATAAAACCAATGAACTAGCACTTGGAAAGTGACCCTTGGACTAAGGAGTGTCCACGCTTTTGGTCTGCACAGAACACACAATGACTACATATCCCAGAGTACCTCAAAAGATAGGAATCGGAGTGGTGAAATACCCAAAAGTAATGGAAAATTTAAAAATGATCAAAGGAAAAATTTAAAGATATCTAATTTGAAAAAGAGTCAGAATGACTATTTTAATTTGTTGCTGGTTTTTGTTTTGTTTGTAAAGGTTATAATTGGGAATGGAATTATATTAGTCTAGATAATTCTATAGGGAATATTTAGGTAGATATTGCTACACATAAAATAAAAAAATCATATCCACAGTAGTACTAAAAAGAAATAGATCTTGTCTTGGGATAGTGAGCTCTTTATCACTTAAATGTCTAAGTAAATTTTTATGATAACTTGTGAAGGGTGTCGCTGTGAAGACATAATTGTAGGTCAGCATTGATGGTCCTGCCTATGTTTCTTTCAGCTTCTTAAGTTTATGTGTATTTAATTTTAATAAATTTTATTAGTTAAGGTATGATTTTCTAGACTGGAAAGATGAGAGTATGATGGGAGATGTTCTTTTTAGTTCCAGCTATGTTCAATTAAGGTTATGACTATGTCCTTCCCATTATTTTTTTTTTCAAATTTATTTATTTGGAACTTGCTATGCAGTTCAGACTCACAGTGATCCTCCTGCTTTAGCCTCCCCAGCACTGGGATTACAGGAATGTGCCACCATGCCCAGTTTTGGGGCTAACATGGTGTACCTGGGGTTCTGGGGCTAGCATGGCATGTGGTACCAGGGTTCAAACCCTGGTCCTCGCGCTTGCCAGGCAGGGTCTTAGACCACTGAACCATCTCCCTAGCCTGATTCTGCCACTTTTGTAATCTATTTTTGTTGAAACATCTTTCACAATGTACCAGAGTGTATAATATATGCCCAATTGGGGGTTAAGGTAATACAAAGCAAGTATGAACCCAAACTGAGTCACCTAAACTTAGCAATGGTGGGGGATAGAAGTAGGAGCACTGCTTGGCTTATTTTCATTTCTTACCAGAAATGAAAACAGTTTTGCCTTCTTCTAAATGGCAAATGAATTTGGGGATGTTTTATCAGATAACTTTGTACTTACAATGTGTGGTGCTGCCGATAGCAACCTTAACTGCCTTAGTCGTGACGTCAAGGAACAAGCAACTCCAGCCCTGCATCACTGACCAAGGACCGTCTCCTCTGTGAGCTCACAGGTTGTCGCATGGACCTCTTCCAGCATGTTGTGTTTTCAGACACGAATGTGGCCAGAATCATCACCCCAGATGCCTTTGTGTGTCGGACCATCTGCACGTATCATCCCAGCTGCCTCTTCTTTACATTCTATACAAATGCATGGAGTGCAGAATCCCAAAGGCGAGTGTGAAAGGGGGGCCTGCGCTGCTCCTCTCTCATTTTTCACAGTTAGGGTTGGAAAATGTTTTATGTCGCTCAAAACGCTAGCACCTGCACTTTAATCGGGTAGCTCTCTATCAGGTGCAGCTTAGCCTAGCCTAGAGCTGAGTAGATGCTTTGTGTGCCTTTTCACTGAATCAAGGAAACAACATCTATAGGAGAGAAAAGATCTGATGTTATTCTCACTCGGCTTAATATTTGGTCTTAATCTGGGGTAAAGCTATTTGCTAGCGGGTTATTCTTCAAACTTGTTGCATTAATTTTTGTTTTAGAAATTAGTTCTCTATTTACCTGATCAAGAGTCTGGTCCTACCACTTTATCCGTGATGACCCATCCTTCTCTTTATATACAGCATGAGACCAGCAGCAGAGTATATATATTTATATAACAGAACTAATAGCATAAACCCCAAGAATTTGTTCTATGATATATATTGTTGTTGTTGTTTAATTTTACCTTTTGGAGGTATAACTTTACTATCCCTCTCTTTTCAAATTATCTGTGCTTGTTCGTTTTCACCAGTGGGAGATGTGACTTGATTTACATCTAATGGCTATGATTTATTAGAGTTCTGGGTACTGACTTTGAAGAGCATTTCTATGGAGAATAAATTTTGTAGATATATTTTTTTAGGTAGGCTGCTTTTATATTTACCTAATCCCTTTAATACAGTTTTCTTTCTCTTTTGAAAATAGAAATGTTTGTTTTCTTAAGACTTCTGAAAGTGGGACACCAAGTTCCTTTACTGTTCAAGAAAACACCGTATCTGGACATAGCCTCTCCACCTGCAAAAAAACTCTGCCTGGTAATATGATTCTATAATTATACTACATAATGTGTAATGAATCCTATCGTTTTCTGACACTTAACAGTGATGAAATAAACTTCAACGCACCGGAAACTTGTATTAAGGTTGTTTGTTGCTTTCACGTGTTACCTCCTTTCGTGTTTATCCTTGGTACAGAACCCTGCCTCTCCAAAATTTATACCGGAGTTGACTTTGGAGGAGAAGAATTGAATGTGACCTTCGAGGAAGGAGCAAGTGCTTGCCAAGAGACTTGTACGAAGATAATTCGCTGTCAGTTCTTTACTTACTCTTCACTCCCAGAAGACTGTAAGGGAGAGAGGTAGGGGAGCGCTCATTTGGTGAGAAAATTCATACTTATCCCTTCTGCGGAGGCGTGACCTGTGCTGTTCACTCCACCCAGGTGTAAGTGCTCCTTAAGATTGTCTCTGGATGGCTCCCCAACCAGGATTACGTATGGCACGCAAGGGAGCTCCGGTTACTCTTTGAGATTGTGTAAAACTGGGGACAGCGCTGGTAAGTAAACCGCACGGGGTAAGCGTGACACTGGGGTGGCCTGCTTAGTCTTACATGACTGAACTATGCATGCCAATTTCTCGGTTGAAGGGAACTCTGATTCACTTCCAATTCTGACCGTTAGATCTGATCCTCTTCCTTTTAGTCTGCACAACCAAAACAAACGCACGTATCGTGGGAGGAACGGACTCTGCTTGGGGAGAGTGGCCCTGGCAGGTCAGCTTGCAGGTGAGACTGACAAGTCGGGGCCACATGTGCGGAGGGTCCATCATCGCGCCCCAGTGGGTCCTGACCGCCGCGCACTGCTTTGATGGGTAGGTCACGGGTGAGTCTTCTCTTGCCTGTGCCTTCGGAATCCTCTGTAATCAGGTTCTTCATCGACCAGCAGCCTTATTATAGAGAATTATTCCTTCTTTTGAAAAATTATTTTATTTAAGGAATCCTTTTCCACTGTTAGAGTGCAGCCTAGTACAGTCACTACAGAGATCAATGTGGAGATTCTTCAACAAGCCAGGATTGGAGGTCCCATTCAACCCAGCTATTCCCCTCCTACGAATTTTTCCAGAAGAACTGAAAACATTATATCACTGTGATATATGTGCACTCATGTTTATAGCAGCGCAATTTGTCAAAGCTAAGTCTTGGATACAACCCAAATGCCCGTCAACTGAGGAATGAATACAATAGAGATCTTTTTTACATAATGGAGTATTACTCCGCTATAAAAAAAAACCAGAAACTCAAGGTTTTATGGGTAAATGGATGCAACTAGGGCTACACTCATAAGTGAAATAAATCAGACCTACATATGTAAACATCTTGTTATGTCACTAGTGTAAGAATCTCAGAGTAAATAAAATCTGAGAGGAACAACAGATACTGTGAAGGGAAAAGAATCTGTTCAAAGGGGAGGAACAACTGGGATGAGGGAAAGAAGAAAAGGAAAACAGATTTTTATATATATACATGATAGCTTAGATAATTGTACTGCTAGTTTCTGCTAGTCTGTTGAAAGGAATAATTAATGCTTAATTTTTTTCTTCTCCTTTTTAATTTCTTCCAACTTTTTAAAGCCAATTTTGCATGCATATATCTGGTAATCTAAACAACTAATTTGAAGACAACGTTATGCAATATAACAACCATTGTTGAATTCCTATTATTTTTTAGTGAAATTTTATATCATTTTAATGCTTTTTACTATTTTTATTCTCTTTAAAAACAAAAAAGATGAAATAAAAATCTATTTTGTTTAAATTTATTTTTTAACTGGTGCGTAAAACATAAATTTTGTACACATCTGTGGAGTACCACTGGGTGTTTTGATACCTATACACTACCCATTGTTTAAATTAGACTAAATCTTTCCATCTTTTTGTTCATTCTGAAAGCATTCAAACCCTTCTAGCTTTTTGAAACATGTAGTACACTGTCCTCATCAATAGAGACCTCTTTGTGCAATAGCATGCAAAAGTCTTATTCACGTCTAATGTTAACTAAGTCCCCATTGGTCAATCAACCTTTCTCTCTCTCCCATCCCTGTATTAGGCAGCACCCTGTGCTGTCTGATAACCATTACTCTGTTCTCAACTTGTACTAGATCAACCTTCTTACCTTCCACATAGGAGTGAGATCATGTGATATCCTTTCTCTACCTGGTTTAGTTTACTCAACATGATGATCTCCACTTCCACTGAGGTTGTCACAGGTGAGAATGCTTCCTCTTCTTCTGATAGCTGAGTAGTGTTTTGCTGTGAATATGAACCACACTATTTGTACCCATTCCTCCATTAGGGCCTCCTCCTGAGTCGCCCCCATGTCTTGGCCACTGTGAATTGTGCTGCAATAAACACAGGCGTGTGAGTGTCTTTTCAAAGGCTGACTTCATTTCTTCTAAGTAAATAGCCAGCAGTGGGATTCATGGATCCCGCCAAGAGTGCAAGAACTTCCTTCACATCTTTGCCTACAGTTGTTATCTTTTGTCTTTTTGATAGCAACCTTTCCTACTAGAATGAAGCGATAGTTTATGGAATTGGTTTGCATTTCCTTGATGACTAATGATGTGGAAGACAATTTATACTTATCTTGGCAAAAACTGAGAAACAATAACAGACACTTTTAAACAGGGCTGGTATTAAAATATTTAAGAACTCAGAGAATCCTGGCCTTTATGACGCACTAGGTCATATGTACTGTGATATTGTCTAAGCTGTTTCTTAACTTCTTAACTTTTCTTCTCCTTCTCCTCTCCTCTTCCTTCTCTTCCTTCTCTTTCCCTTCCTCTTCTTCTTCCTCTTCCTTTATCTCCAGCTCCTTCTCCTCCTTTTTTTCTTCCTCCTCCTCTTCTTTTGAAAGAGAAGTGAAAGGAAAAAGGAATACTATCAAAGTTGCACCCTTGCAGTTTCAAATTATTTATTTGTCTTTCCTAGAATTCCCTTCCCAGATGTTTGGCGCATTTATGGAGGCATTTTAAATCTGTCAGAGATTACAAAGGAAACCTATTTCTCACAAATAAAAGAACTTATTATCCATGAGAAATATAAAGCCTCAGAAACTGGTCATGACATTGCCTTAATAAAACTCCAGGTGCCCTTGAATTACACTGGTATGTAGTTGACTTAAGGAAAAACTGAACGGCAAATTTGCATTGGTTTAAATGTTCACATCAGTTTGAATGATCTGCAGATTGTCTTTATGTTCTGGTTTGATACAATCAGGGAAAGGTAAGGGTTGACAGAGAAGTGAAGTTACCAGGACTCGACCTAAAATATTTTCTATTTGGAGGCAAGATGTTTGAATTAGTTCTTTTACAGAGGAATGCAATTGTGCATACATGTTTCAAATAGGAGATGCAGGAAATGTGTTTGCCATTTGGGAGCACTAGAGTTCCTTTGTCAAGAGCAGCACAAGTACTGTGGGATGCGCAGGCTTAGGAGTCTTTAGAGTGAGGAGAAGCAGGACGTAATGTTCATTTATAGGAATAACTTGGGTAGAGAAGAGATAGGTACAAAAGGAGCTCTGGGAAGCCTGGAGCTTCAAGACTGTTTTGTAGTTAGCAGTGGCAACTGAAAGCTTGTTCATGAAATTATTTGTTAATAGTCATTAGAAATTCTGTGACCTTGAGCAATTTGCCTTTTTTCTTTGTTCTGCTAATTTCCTT